CTTATTTCTTAAGATTTAAAATAAATACCTTGCTAAAATTACTATATAAATTATTAAATTACTATATAATATTATATAATTTAATATATATTAATAAGTAATTTATTATAAATTTTATTATAATAATTTAAATATAATTATTTTAATATATAATTTATATTTTTTAATTATAAATTAAGAAAAAAATATATTTATTATTATTGCTATATAAATTAATAATATATTATTTCTTAATACTTTAATATTTTTAAAATTAAAAAAGTAAAAGATTAATAAAGTAAATATTTAATATAAGCTAAAAAATATACTTATTATAAATAAGTTACTTATTTTTAATAATATAATAATAAGCATTTTTAATAAAGATACTTTATATTTTTATTAAAAAAGTTAAAATAAAAAGATTATATTTATTAATAATAAGGTTAATAATTATATTTAATAATATATAAAGCAATATATATAAAAAGTATATTTTACTTTTATTTATTAATTTAAAGTAATATTTAATTTATTAATAATAACTTAAATTTAAAAGCTTTTTTATAAAGATTATAATAAATTAAATTATTAATTATAATAATAAGTTAATAACTTAAAATATAAACTTTAATATATATTTTTAAATTTATTTTAAGCTAAATTAATAATTTTTATTAATAGCTTATTTATTAATAATAAGGATTTTAGCTTATAAATTAGCTTTATTATTATATTTATAAATAAAATATAAATTTAATAAGCTTTTAAATAAAATATTAAAAATAATATTATTTATTAATTTTTAATAAAGTATTAAAAAATAATTTAAAACCTTTTAGCTTTAAAAATTTATAATATAATTAATAGCTTTAATATAATTATAATATTAATAATTACTTTATATTAAATTATTATATATTTAAATATTATAATAATTCTTTTTATAATATATATTAACTTATACTTTTTATATAAGTATTTAATTAAGTTTAATATAATAAAAAAAGCGCTTTATAATTAATATTATAGTTTTTTAATAATTATATAAAAAGCATAAAATTTTTAAAATTTATTAAATTATTAAAAATTATAACTTAATTAATGCCTTTATAAAAAATATTTTTTATAATACTTTTTAATGCTTTATAAATATAAATAATATTATAATTAAAGTATAAAGTTATATAAATTATAATTAAAAAGATAAAGTAATTATTTAAATATAGTAAAAAGTTAAGAAAATTATAATATATTAAGACTTAAATTTAAATTATTAAAGTATAATTTAATAACTTATTAATAAATTATATTAATATAATCTTAAATATTATTATTATATTATATATTATGAAGTTATTATATTAATATTAATATAATTAATTTAAGTATATATATTATATAATTATAAAGATAAAAATTATTAAAGTTTTTTAATAAAGAATAATAAAATAACTTTTTTAATTAAAAGTAATATATAATAAAAGTATAAAAGTTTAATTTATATTTATTAATTATTTATAAATTACCTTATAATATAATATAATTAATTAACTTTAAATTATATTTTTTTTAAGAGTAAATTTTATATTTAAGATTTTTATAATAATATTTATATATTAAAGGTTTAAGTAATAAGAATTATTATTATTTTATAAGTATTTAAGTTATTAACTTATATTTAATAAGCATTTTTAATTAAATTTTATAATTTATATATTATATATTAAAATTAAGAATATTATTATTTATTAATTTAATTAATAATCTTTATTTTATACCTTACTTTTCCTTTATTTAAATACTTTATTTATTAAATTTTATAATTTATTAACTTTATTTACTTAATCTTTATTTTAATAATTTATTTTTTAATTATACTTTTTAATTTCTTTATTTAATATATAATATTAAGCATAATAAAGTTAAGGCTAAGTTAAATTAAGAAATTTTAATTATTTAAAGATTAAATAATTATATTAATAATTTAAGAATTTAATTTAATTTTTATTTAACTTAAGTATTATAAATAATAAAAATATAAGTTTATAAAATATATTATAAATAAAATATTTATATAATAATTATAATTTTTTAAGCTTTTTAACTTTATATAATTATAATATTTTAATATATATATATATTTAATTAACTTTTATTTATTAATTATATACTTTAATAAATTAATTAATCTTTAACCCCTTAATAATAACTTAAGCCTTTTTATATACTTATCTTTAATAATAATATAATATAATAAAATAATAATATATTTATAATTTAACTTATATATATAATTAATTAATTACCTTTTAATCTTAAGTTTAATTTAACTTAATATCTTTCTTTTTTTTATACTTTTTAAAAGTAATATATATTTATAAAATAAAGATTATTAATATAAGAATAATAAATATTATTTATATAAAAAATTATTTAAGATTAAGTAGCTTTAGCTTATTAAAATATTTAATAAGTAATAGCTTTAACGTTATATATAAAATAGCTAGCATAGTTAAGCTTTTTACCTTTCTTTCTTTTATAATTAATAATAATTAACCATTATACTAACTAAACGTTATATTGCAATACGTAACCCAGCCAATAATATTACTTATAAAATTATATTTTATAAAAGGCTATCCTTATAAGTAATATACTTAAATGCTTTATAATAAAGTTATATTTTATTAATAAGTATTCAAAGAATATTTATATAACTTTTATTTAAATTTCTTTATTAAAAAGTAAAGAAAGTTAAAGTATTTTAATTTATAAAATAATTATAATAATTATTATTTATATTAAAATAATTCTTAAGTTTCTTATGTGCTTAAATAAATAAGTTTTTATAATTAATAACTTAAATATAATATATCTTTATTAATTTTTTAAGTATATATAAAAGAGCTACCTTAAATTATTAAGGCTATATTTATAAATTATTATAAGCCTTATAAAAAAAAGGATTTTATTATTAAAAATATTATATAATTTTTTAATAAATATTTATTTAAATTAGCTATTATATTTAAGTTAAGTAAAAAGTTTTTTATTTTTATTAAAAGTAAAAGGATATAATAATTATATATTATATAAAATTTATTAATTAAAGTAAAATTATTACCTTTTTTTAATAAATTAAAGAATCTTAAAAGGTTATTATTATTTTTATTATTATTATTAAATAAGCTAAGTAATTTAAGTAATTTAAAATTAAAAGAATTATTATTATTAAATAATTCCTTATTTTTTATTAAGATATAATTAAAGTTATGAATAATATAAATACTTAAATTATAGTTTTAAATTTAATTAATTTTAAATATAATGCAATATTTTTATTTTTAATTTATTAATTATTTAAAATAATTCAATATTTTAAGAATATATATAAGTTTTTTTAAAGTATTTACTTTTTAAATATAAATACTTTTAACTTAAAGAGTTTTCTTAATAATATATAATAAGTTGTTATTAATTTATTTAAATATTAACTTAATTTAATTATAAAAGTTTTTAATAAATACTTTATATATCTTATTATTTAATATATATATTATAGCTTAAATTTAATTTTAAATATAAGTATTTAAGTATTATTTATTATTAAGGGATTTTAAGGAATTTATTTATATTAAGGGATTAAATATTTTAATAATGTTTTTAAATATAAAAGTATAATTTATTATAATTAATATTAATAAATTATTTTAATTAATAATATTACTTATTATATTTATTATATTATTATTATTTTTTATTATTTTAATAAAGTAATAATAAGGATATATTTAATTTAAGAAAGAAAATAATAAAAAGGGGAAATAAGTAATATTAAGGAAAAATAAAGAAGTTAAGGATTATTTTTATAATTTAGCTATTAAAAAGTAAATTAATTTCTTTCTTTATATTTATTTATATAATAAAATATAAATAAATATATTATTAATAAAAATAAATATTAATTTAGTTTTTTTAATTATAGCTATTAAATTTAAAAGTTATTATTAATATTATTTAAGGTATAATAAATATATATATATTAAAAATAAGGAAGTTTATATATAAAAAAATTATAATAATTACTTCTTTATATATTAAGTATTATTATTATTATAAATTATATTATATAAATTTATAATATTAATAATATTAATTAATATAATTAAAAGATTATTTCTTTAAGCTTTATTAATTTATAATTATCCTTATAATTATTAATTAATATTAATTAAGTTATATATTATAATATAATATTTAAATAATATAATAATTAATTATTATTAATTATAAAAGAAAGGAAGGTAAAAGGCTTAATTATATTAGCTATTTTATATGCAGCGCTAAGGTTGCTGCTTGCTAAGCATTTTAACGGGTTAAAGCTGCCTAGTTTTAAATAGTCCTCTATATAAACGACACCCATTATTCCTATAGTTAAAGTTAATAAGGTTTAAACTAAAGCTTTTAATATAAAATTATAATAATATTAAGTTAATCCTTAATATTAAGTTAACCCCCGACATTTAATTAACCTTAATATGATTTAAAGCCTTGATATGATTTATTTTTAATAGCATTTCAATAGGCTTTTATTAGCATCTCACTATAATTACAAAATTCTGATTGAATGTTAAAACATGATTGTATTGCGTGACCCAGTCAGAAACCCCCTCCCCCTGGTAGGTATGTTCTGAGAGCCAGTTGTTGCAACGGCGGAAAAGTGGCCGCTTCAGCCATTCCTCTAGAATTTAGGTAATAATTATATCTAAGACGCAAATGCAAACTTATATATAGGAAATATCTCCCTTTAATTTTATTACTGCTAATTGAGTGTATATACCTGCTCTTAGTAAGAGAGTTTGTTTCTAAAAGGTGTACGAGCGAGGATGAGGGGTGGTCCATGTTAGCTTAAGTAAGCAGACTATCCCTGTGTCGATGCCTACTGTATCTACGTAGTCTAGTGCTTACGCCGGAAGCGAGAGACAAGGATTCAGCTGAAAACCAGGTCTCGGCGTCAAATGCGTAATCGAGCCTTGCCTTCAAGCCCGCAGGCAAGACCTAAGAGCGAGTTCGGAAGCCTCTCGATTTATGACAGGGACCAAATTAAGGTCATGACCGAGAAACTCATCTACACACCTCTCATAGAAGGGGACTTTCGCCTCCTGGTCTTGGAGCCAGGCCCTCACAAGGATCCAAACATCTCAGTCCGTCTTGTTCAATGCCGGCCGCAATTTGCACCTACTTATGACGCTTTGTCCTATGTCTGGGGCGACCAGAGTAGGAGAACCACGATATCGTTGGATGGGAAGCCGTTCGACGTCACCACCAACCTGGCTTGGGCGTTGCGGAGGACGCGAAATCCGCATGAGGCTCGACTGGTCTGGGCCGACGCGATATGCATCAACCAGCTCGATCTTCAGGAGCGAAGTCAGCAAGTCGCCATTATGGGATCTATATTCAGCAACGCAAGCCGAGTCCTTGTCTGCATGGGTGAACCGCCGGATAACCGCGGGGACGAAGACGTCTCATCGCTCATGAATGGCTTCACATTCCTATGGGGCAGACATCCCGATATCCCAGCCTTGAGGCAACACGACCCTCTGCGGACTGATGCACGTTGGCGAAGCGTGGCGAAATTTATGCAACTACCGTGGTTTCGCCGAGCTTGGGTCATTCAAGAGGTTGGCCTCGCTCGCGACCCGCGCGTCCTCTACGGCCGCTGCGAGTTCGGCTACAGAGACATGCTTCGGGTCATGAAATGGGCAGGCTGCCAGACATGGATTCTTCAATTTGCGATCCCTTCGCTATTGGTCCACAGAGAGTGGCACGACTGGACACAGCCAAACCACCCGCTCAGCTTTATTGACCTCTTGAACCACGGCGCCTTGCTGGACTGCAGCGATCCCAGAGACCACGTCTATGCGTTCCTCGGCCACCCTCTGGCGAGAAACGAAGATGGAAGCCCCTTGATCTTCCCTGATTACGTCAAGTCGGTGGAGCAGCTCTACCTGGACGTCTCTCGCATTCTATTGCGGCGATTTGGGCTGCGCTTACTTTCGTCAGTCGAGCATCGAGAGTCGACGATAAAGGATGAATTTCCCTCATGGGTCGTACGTTGGAACGTTTCGGTTGTGATGAACGATATCGCCCGCTACCCACTGTTATACCGAGCCACGCCTCCGCACTGGGCGCCTGATCTTGCGAAGGCGATCAGTGGGAAGAAGCTTGAGCTTCCTGGGGTCATACTGGACAGAGTTTCCAAGGCTTACTGCATCGACGTGAGATCAACCCCCGACGTCTCTCTGCGGTTCATTGACTTTTCCGACGTCTCGCGAAACCTGAGCTGGTCAAATATCCTGGGCGAGTTCCCTCATAGACCCGATGCATCGAGTGCAATTTTGAAGACGCTGTGCGCCCGGGACGACCTTGACACAAGCAGGCTGCGTCTTCCAGAGGCTAAACAAAGGTTTGAGCACGTGGTGAAAGACGTCGGAATCAACCGGTGCCTTTTGGCAACAGCCAAAGGAGGGTTTGCAATAGGCCCACTCATCACACGGCCGGGAGATGTTTGTTGTGTAATTTTCGGGGCTGATGTCTCATTCGTACTACGCCCGAGCGCAGATTCGTCGGGATACAGGTTGTTGGGCGAGGCGTTCGTCCACGGAGTCATGAACGGCGAGATTGAAGGGATGTTGCAAAGGGGGCAGGTCGTTCAGCAGACCATTACCATTATTTGAAACTTCAGACCACGTTCCGTCTGTAGGCAGGACTGCTCTCTTCCCGAGCAACCTTGGAAGCCTTTGCGGAGGCGAATGGCTACAACCAGAACCACTTGCGTACAGGACATCATTTTGCTTTGCATATCACGGTGACCTCTCGGGATGCAATACTTGCAGGAGCAGAACAGGCGCCGAGTCCTTCTCAATCTGGTCCAATACCCTCTTCCTTCCAAGCTCCGGCGTCTCGCGCCTACTCCCCCGCCGCGCTATGTGTACGCCATCATGTGATTTAACTGCAAAGACGTCGTTCAAATCTCTCTGGACTTCCTGATTATCCTTTTGTCACGAGAGCGATACCGATGGACAGAGTCGCTTGAAGGCCCCAGACCTCACCGCCTAGAGCCGTGATGGCAGAGGTTCCTTTTGTGGCCGAGATTTCAAAGTGAATGCTTTCTGGAGTGTGTTGACATCTCAGGTGACGAGAAGCGGGCTGCTAGAGAGGGTTATGAGTCCCTCCCATAGCATGCTCCGTCATAAAAACCCAGTGAACTTGTTCCCGGTCCCATCAGCGACCCAGCACTCAGAAAGCGGCACGACGGAGGAAACTGACGACCTGAACGGAGACGTTCTCCGGACTCATTTGACGACTAGAGACCAAAAATATAGCTTTCTCATACGACACGCGACATGTCCATTCAGTAGCAAATCCACGTTCCCTTTGGTCTCGACCTAGTTTTGTCAATACAGAAGCCAGCCGCCCATGTTTCTCTTCCTTTTGACAGCAATGATATCATGTGAATGATTCCACCCCTCACACATTTCTTCGCAATGGTCGTGTTCCGACCCATGGCTCTCCCTGTTGCACAGTGGTCCCGCCTGTCTAGACGTTGAGCATCATGGGAGGGTTCTTGTGGTCGAAATAGGAAGGCTTGTGAGCCTTCCAATGAGCCTTCTGACAGTCCTGTGTGCCTTACATTAGATTCATTCTTCTTCTGGGCGGGTTTGGGTGCAGCTTGAGACCGCTTACCTGGCCGCAGTAAGAAGCGAACTTGCATCTCGCGCACCGAGAGAGGTTCTTGCCCAGGTCGGCCTCGATCTTGCCACAGTGGTAGCAGCTGGTAACCCGCTGTCAGCATACCGTGCGTTTGGCCCATCTTCGCAAACATGCAAACAGGACTGCCGGGTACTGACCTCAACTCGCAAAAGGTGCGCGGAGTTCCTGGCGTGTAGTGCTCCAGCGAAGCGAGGAACTGGGCTCTTCCAGGGTCGCGGAAACCCTCGTCGTTGAGGGGCCAGGCATAGCCTGGGCTGGAATGGATCTGTGGAACGATCTCGCGCAGGTGCTGCATGTTGTCGTCGCTGATCTTGGCTCCGCTCTGCATGACCATGGCGGCGAGGATGACGGTGTACATCTTGCGATCTGGGCTGCTCTGTGTCAATCACCTGCTAAGAAAGTGACACATTCCGGAACATTACAAAATGCAACGGACGGTGATCATGAACAGGAGAAGACTCGTGCTTACAACCAGACAGTGTTCTCCTTGCTGCGGAAGTCCTTGAAGAGCTTGTCACAGAGGCCAGCGTTCAGCTTGTCGCGGAATTCTGTGGATTGCAGCTCCTCGTCAGCGTCGTACTCGACATCACCATCGCTGGTGAGGCCCATGGCGCATTCGGTTTCGCCACGGATGTCGAGGTCCTGGTCGCCTTGGAAAAGGCCTGTGATGGAATGGTCAGCTTCGTTTCGGCGCCACCACACAGCCTGGGATACCTCAAGCTGTCGATACGTCATTAGGAAGGAGTGTTTGACCAGCGGAAAATGCTTACACATTCCCCAGCGACCCATGGTGAGGTGATTGATGAATCGAAGGTTTTGGAGTCTGGGACGGCGAGAACGATAACTCGATCTTGGCGTAGATGCGGTTCTGGTGTGCTTTCGGTGTTCCTGTGGCCGTCAAGTTGCAGGTCTCAGAGGCCAGTGCTGAGGGACTGTGGAAGCCATGGCAAGCGTGTGCTGAGCGGCAGCAAAGGAAGGAGCCACGGAAGGAAGTGACGCTGCTGCCTCAGTGTCAACGTTCTGCAATTAACACCCTTGGCAGTCACTCCTGCTGTGCTCGTGTCGAAAATCAGACTGAATGCACTAGAATGGGAATTGTAGCAACCGAAGAAGTTCGGAGCAATCCCAGCTATCAGAATACCTGTTGGAAGGTGCGAGGGTCGTATGCCTATACGCTAGCGCTAGCCTATAAATAGGCTCCTTCTAAGTGTTTAATAGCGGGGAGATTTCTCTCCTTAATACATAATAATTAATTATTATTTACTTTATTACTTTATTAAGTTATAAGCTTAGTATTGCTTAAGATATTTTAAAATATTAAGAAATATTAATACCCTTATTTTTATAATTATTTTTATACTTAAATTATTAAGATTTTAATATTATTAGCTTTTGCTTATATATTATTATTATACCTTATAATAGTTATTATAATTAATAATAACTTATAATAATTTAACACTCTTATTAATGCAGTTGCGAAATCTTCCGCTGTGTTAAAAGGGAGAGGGACCTACTGGTTGCTTAGGGGGCTCTTTTATAGGCTTATTAAGGGCATAATAAGCCTACTACGCTAAGCTTTAAGGGCATATTGCATTAAATGCCCTTTATAAAGCAACTAAAAAGCTATTTATAGCTAAGTTATATAGCGCGCCTTTTAAGGGGTTGCCCTTATAGCTTATATCTTATTATAAGCCTCTTTATGGCCAAGTCTTTTTTATATTAAATTAAGCTTAAAATGCATGGGAATTAAACCCATAGCCTTTATATTATTAATGCATAGCGCTTTCCTTTATGCAAAAGCTTCCTAAGCGCGGTCACACTTATTTAATATAAATAAATAGTTATAGCTATTATTTAATATAGTTACGAAATCTTCCGCTGCGTTAAAAGGAAAAGGAACTTATTGGTTGCCTAAGGGGCTTTTTTACAGGCTTATTAGGGATATAATAAGCCTACCACGCTAGGCTTTAAGGGCATACTATATTACTTATCTTATTTAATAGTTTAACTATTTATTTCTTTTTATTTATTTATTTATACTAATTAATGCTAATTATTATAAATAAATAAATATATAAATATTATTTAAAATATACTTAAAGATATATAAATATTATTTAAAAAATATTAAATATACTTAACTTTAAGCTTAACTTATTATTTCTCTTAAAGTTAAATTTAAAAAAGGAAAACTTTTTAAATTAAAGGGCGGTATGGAATTATAATTTTTAATTTATTAACCTTAATAAATATATTATAAGCCTTAAAAAATAATTAAATAAGGATATAACCCTTATAAAATAAAAAAAGCTTAATAATTAAGTTTTTATTATATTTTTAAGCTTAATATATTTAAGCCTTATAATATTTATTATATTATATAAAAAGCCTTTTAATATTTAAAAAATATTAGCTAATTAATTTAATTATAATATTAATAATTTAATTATTTATCTTTTTATTAATTAATAAACTTATAATATAAGGATAGCTTTAACTTATAAAGCTATTTAAATACCTTTTAAAACTTTTAAATAAAACTTTATATTAAAATCTTAATATTGAAATAATTAATTAAAAGGTTAATAAAGTTACTTTTTAAAAGTAATAAAGTTAAAGATTTCTTTTTTTTAATAATATTATTAAATATTATAAATAATATTATTAATAACTTAAATAATTAAAACCTTATAATATTTTTTAAAATTAAATTTAAAATAATAAATATTATTTTTTATATATAAGATTAAATAATTTAAAGCTTATTTTATTTTTATTTAAAAAAAGTTAATATTAAAGGGTATAAAAAAGGCTATAAAGTTTGCATTAATAAGTATTAACTTTATATTAAATAATAAAAAATATATTTAATATTATATATAAAATTTTATATTTATTAGCTATTTATATATTAATTATATAAAGCTTATTAAATATAAGGTTAATTAAGAATAAAAAAAGAATAAAAAATAAGCTATTATTATAAATTAAGCTATAAATAATGAAATTATTAAAATCTTTAATAATAATAAGGAAAGTATAATAGTATTATATATTAATATTTTAATATATATAATAAAGTTATTAATAATTATAAATATTTTAATATTATAAATTCTTAATTTTAATACTTTAAAGCATATAATAAAATATATAAAAGACTTTAAGTTTTTATAATTATATTTAAATATAATTATTATTATAAGTAATAATTAACTTATTATAAAAAGCATTAGCTTTATAAAAATCTTTTATAATTATTAAATAAATTAATTATTAAGAATATCTTTATTAATATTTTATATAATTATGCATTAAAAAATATTTATTTATTTAGCTAAATTATAATTTAAAAAAGGTTTTAATTAAATATATAAAGAAATAATATCTTTTTATTATTAAAAAATAATAAATTTTATAAGATATTATAAGCTAAGTTTTAATATAAAAATTTTAAAATTTAAATAATAAAAAATAATTTTATAATATTTATAATATATAATAAATTTTATAAAGCTTTTAATTATAATAATATATTAAAATTAATTATTTAATACTTATATAAAGATAAAAATATTATATTAAATAAATTAATCAATTTTTATTATAAATTATATTAATTTATAAAATTTATTAAGAAATGCTTATATTTATTATTAAAATAATAATTTATATAATTATTTAAATATATTTAATTTAATTTATTAAGTAAATCCTTAATAAGGTTATTAAAAGGTTTTTAATACTTTATTTTATTTATTAATAATTATATTTAATTTTATTAAATTTACTTTATTACTTAAAAAAATAATATTTTAAATATTATTAAGGGATTTTTAAATATAATTAAAACTTGATTTAATATAAAAGTTAAAATATTTAATTTAAATAATAAAAGTAAATATATAAATAAGATAATTATTATAATATTTTAAAGATATAAAATTATTTATAAGAAATTACTTTTTTATTATTATAAATTAAATAATATATTTAAAAAGTTTATATATATTATTATTATTAATGCTTATATAATAATTTATAATAAAGATTGCTTATTTTTATAATTTAAAATAATTTCTTATATAATATATTTATAAAATTAAAAATTATACTTAATCTTATTATATTAAATAACGTTATTTAAGGCGCTTTATAAATAAAAGCTTAATATTAAATATTTTTAATTATATTTTTACCTTATATATCTTTATATTTTTATTAAGGCTTATAAATTAAGAATAAAATTATTAAATAAAGTTAAAAAAGCATATTTTATAAAATTTAAGATTAAAAATAAATTTTTTATTTATTTATTTATACCGCTTTAAAAAGTTATTATAATTATAATATTAAGTTATATTACTTAGTTTAATTTAATAATAAAGATTATATATATAATTAAGTAATTAAATAAAGATATATTACTTAAAATAAAGGTATTATTAATATTTTAATTAATAAAACTTACTAATAATGCAAGACTTATAAATAAACCCATAAATAAATTCCTTAAACTTATAAAACCTATTAATAAATTACTTAAATTTATAAAACTTATATAATCATATAATTTTTAAGGATTATTAATTTAGCCTTTATAAAAAGTAAAAGAAAATATAAATATTATTATAAAATATTTTAAAATTTTTAATAACTTAATATTAATTAATATAAACTTTATATTAAATTTTACTTAATTAATATTAATTAATGCTAATTACTTTAATTAAATCTTTATTTAAGCATTATTTATTAATATTATAAATATTAATAATATTCTTAAAATATATATATAAGCTATTAAAAATAATAAAAGAAATGCTTAATAATATATTATTAAAAAAATTTAAATTACTTTTAAATATAAATATATAAGTTAAAATACTTATTATTATAAATTAATATATTATTAATCCTTATTAAATATATATAAAGAAGTTTAATGCTTTTAATAAGCTTATTTATTATAAAGCTTAACTTATTACTTTATAAATATATATAAATTTATAATATAAATTATAATAATATTTATAGCTTTATAATGCATTATAATAATTTAAAATTAATTATTATTATTATTATTATAATAAGCTAATACCTTTAATAATTTAATATTAAAATAATATATTTATATAGCTATTTAAAATATAATATTTATATATAATTATTATAAAAGTATTAAATATTATTTAATAATTAATAAATTATTTTAAAACTTTTTAACGCTTTATATAAACTTAAATAATTAAGCTATAAATAATTTAGTATTTTTAAAGAGGAATTAATTAAATATTTAATAAAGATAATATTTAATTTTTATATTTTTATTAAAAATTAAATTATTATTATTATTTATATTAATAATATTCTTATTATTAAAAGTCCTTTTTAAGTTAATAAATTTTATATTAAGCTTATATAATATTTTAAGTATAAAGATCTTAATTTTTATAAATACTTACTTAAATTAAAAATTATATAAATTAATAATAAAATTTATATTTTTTAAAAGAAATATACTTAATAAATTTTAAAATGCTTTAATATATTTAATTATAATTAAAAATAAACTTTTATAAATTTAAATTTATTTTTATAATAAAAAAAACTTAATAATATTATAATAAATATAATAATATATTAATTATTTATTAAACTTTTTAATTTTCTTATTATTAAAATAAAACTTAATCTTATATTTTTATATATAATATTATTAATATTTAATATAAAGCTTATAATTTATTATTTAAATATTATAAAGAAAGTACTTTAATATATTT